TATATATATATATATATATATATATATATATATATATTGCATGTATAGTAAAAATATGTCCATAGTGTTATTACTCTTTAGATATCCTTAGGACCCTTGTTACTCTTAGGAGTCCTTACTTCCCTTATATATAAATATATATATATATATCAGTAAGAAAAAATGGCTGACCACCGGCTCCCAGACCCTGCTCGCCTCGAACCTGACGAACGCGGTCGCGATCGACTTTGACTGGACGGACCGGCGCATCTACTGGTCCGACGTTACGACCGTGGGAAGCCACATCTACAGCATGAGCTTCGACGGCAGCGACCACAAGGTTAGGGGGCGAGTTGTTTGTTGAGAGAGAGAGAGAGAGACATAGAGAGAGAGAGGGGAGAGAGTGAGAGAGATCAAAAGGGAGAGAGCGAGAGACACCGAGACAGTGAGAGAAAAAGAAAAAAAAGAGAGAGAGAGAGATGTTTGTGTGGGCGGGGGCTGTAATGTTTGATGTCGTTTGCTTTGCAGCCGATGTCGGATGTCGTGTATGGATGGGTGGAACCCGGATCCGGAAAGGTCGTGGTGCGAGATGGGTGAGTGAGTCGCAACACATACGTAACGCATACTTACGGTAGATACGTATGACACGTTGCGGATGTAGTAGCGGTTCGCGAGTATCAGACACGCCTTGATGGCTGCGACGACAAGAATATATAGATATACTTAGATGTTGATTACTAGTCAATAATACAAGATATACTAATTGTACTGTATTTACGATATATATATATATATATATATATATATAGTCAACATAACTCCAGCACACACCTATTACAATTAAACTAAACAAATAATCAAACGAATAAAACGAGACGAACGAGTTATAGATAAACCCATCATAACTACAACAGGCACTGTAATGTNACACGGAAGCTACCGCTGCTCCTGCGCAGAGAACTACATCATAACGTGTTTTAATGTGTTTTTCAATGTGTTTAATGTGTGTTATAATGTGTTTTCAGACATTGATGAGTGTGAGGAGGTGATGCCGTGCAGTCAGCTGTGTAGGAACACGCACGGAAGCTACAGCTGCTCCTGCGCCGAAAACTACATCATACAGGGAGACGGCACGGGATGCAAGGCTGACAGCAGTAAGTCATTGTAGCAGTAAGAGTGAGCAGTGGCCGTAGCAGTAGCTTTGTGCCAACATTACTAGTAGTTTAGCAGTAGCAGTAGCAGTAGCAGTAGCTTTGTGCCAACATTACCAGTAGTTTAGCAGTAGAAGTACCAGTATCGACATTACAGTGCCTGTTAGTGATGTCACGATCATCGATTATACTCGATCATCGGTTGAACAGTGGCTCGAACCAAGCGCTTGGTT